ACAACAAAAACGCACGCGTGCCCGAGCTATGCGCTATGCCGAGACGAACGGAGCCTGCTGCTCCTGCTGAAGATGCTGCGCCCCCGTCAGCGACCAAGAGATCTAAACCCAACAACGGTGGCACGGCTCCCGAGGGAAGCGGCCCTGGGCCTTGGGTCCGTCATCCAGGACCACGTGTTCATCCCGAACATCGTTCTCTGACGGCCCCAGGGCCCATCGAAGGTCCCGAGATCCCGAAGGGCCCGTTCCGCTCAGGATCTGACTCCTTCATTCGACAAGGGCCCGACCGGCCTGGCATTTCTGTAGGCCTACCGCACAAAACAACTGTGACCGAGACAATGCTCTAAGAACAGCAACGGTGCTCTCATGAGATAGAGGCCGATGTCGTAAAAAAACCTGCCTCGGCCAACAGTGCTCGAATGGCAGTTCATAGAAGCCGCAAGAGGTTTGTAGATCACTACGTGGTGCTCTTAGCGTGAGCCTAAAAAACGAGAAACCATTTGGGGGCCAAAACCATACATGTTTGAGCAGCCCGAGATCGGCGGAGCCGTGCCTCTCGACATCACGTGAGTCATAAGAAGCATCAAAAGACCGAACCGCTGGCTGGGGAGCACAAGACCGCGGGGAAGAATGATACATCTTTTGTGGCTGGCAGAGCTGCTCCCTCCCCGGAGAGGAGAACGGGGGGGGGGGGGGGCGGGGGTCCTCCCATGATAATTCCGGGGCTACTTAGCATTGTAGGCAGAGACCCTTCGCCACTGCTCGCCACATGGCGAAACAGTGTTGTTAGAACACGTCAAGAATCAGCATCAACAAGACATGTTCTTAGACGCAGTAAATACAAACCACATGCTAGCCAGCGCAGAACCCAAACAGTGGTTGTTAGCATACTAGATGATGCAATGTACGTGGGGCAAGCTATGAGGTCTAAACTGTAAGGTCTACACTATGTGAAGCAAGCTAAGTGGTGTAAGATATGTGGTGATGCTATGTGGTGCAATCCATGTGGTGCGGTCCATGGGGTGTGCGCTATGTGGTGCAGTCAATCAAAATGGTACAATTCATGCAATGCAATATATGTGGTACGAGGTATTGTAATAAGCTATGCGGAGTAAAGTATGTGGAGCCAGAGGTACTCATACAGGTGGTATGAGCAATGTGGCGCAACCTAAGTGGTCCGATATATATATATATATATATATATAGGGTGTGAGCTATGTGGTACAACTATGTAGTGCACTCCATGTGGTGAGATCTATGTGATGCAAGCGATACCGTGCAACCTCAGCGGTGACAACTCTGCAGTGGAGTTGATGCGGTGCGAGCTATGTGCCGTGAGCTAGGATCTGTGAGCTACGTGGTGCAAGCCAGAGAGCTTAAGATGTGGTGCAATATGCCGTGCAAGCTATGCGGTGCTGCTCATGCCGTTCAAAAGCTGACTGTGCTGCTCAGGGGCCCCACTGACGACCAGCGCCGACGGGGCGGCGACGTGCGGCGACGAGCCGCGACGGATCGGCGACGGGACGACCACCAGCCGGCCGAGGCGGCACACGAGCCCGCGACGCGGCGGCGACGCGGCGGCGACCAGCCGCGACCCGGTGGCGACGGGGCGACCACGAGCCGGCCGGGCACACGAGGCCCGGGCGAGGCGGCGACGGGCGGCGACGAACCGGCGACGGGGCGGCGACGAGGCGACGACAAGCCGGCCAGGGCGACACACGAGGCGGCGACGAGGCGGCGACGAGCGGCGACACGCGGCGACAAAGCGGCGACAAAGCCAGCCAGGGCGATACACGAGCCCAGTTCCTTGTCAGACAAGTAGTTGGGAAACCCTGAGTGCAAGCACCGAGGGGGAAGAAGGGTATGAGAACGTCAATTACGTGGTGGGCCTAATACAAGCCAGACAGGGCGCGGGAAGACGCGCCGGGGTCCAGGAGGCACGCTGGAAGCCCCAGGAGGTTCAGGAACCTTAGGCCTGGGCTCCTTAATTCGCTCATCCAGAGGGCGGGGGACCTGAGGACACTCCAACTCGAGCCTCGCGGCACTGCGGCAGGCTTGGCCGACCGATAAGCAAGCCAGGACGTTTCGCCACTGCTTCCTTAGAAGGAAAAAAACGGCGTAAACATAAACTGTTGGCGCTCCGAGCGGATTTCTTGAATCTGCGTTGGACCCCCCTCCCTGGCGCGTGGAGCGCGCCAAGGGCGGCGCCGGAGGCGCCGCCAGGGGGGGCCCAGCGCGGATCCAAGAAGTCCGCGAGGAGCGCCAAAAGTTTATGTTTACGTGGTTTCTTCTTCTTCTTCTTCTTCGACTCCTCCCCGGCAAACCGGGCGGCACACCGCAGCGCCTGCGGGGCGCCCAGCGGCGGCGCGGCCGCGGCCGCCGCGCCAGCGCCGTCCGCCACGCGCACGGCGGCGGCAAGCCACTGGCGCAGGGGTGCTGCCGCGGGGTGCTCCTGCGGCCCGCGGCGCGCGGGCGCCCCGCCCCAACGGCCGCACGGCCCCCGGCCAGCGGCTGCCAGCGGCTGCCAGCGGCCAGACGACGGCCGCCGCCGTCGGCCGGCAAAGACGACGGCGCCAACGACGGAAGCGACAACGACGACGATACGACGACGAGCAGGAAGACGACAACGACGGCCACGGCGACGGCGACGGCGACGGCGACCGCGACGGCGACGGCGACCGCGACGGCAACGCTGGCGGCCGACCCGAAGGCTTGGAGCGACAATGCACCTCGTCGTCGTCGCTCTCCTCCTCTTCGTCGACCTCGGCCTCGGCCTCGACGTCGTCATCGTCGCCGTCGTCGCAACCGAAGACCGATGGATCAAAATCCGCCGACCTTGTCGGCGTGTGGGATGCGCTGTTCCGTTTTCGCCGTCGCCGTTGCGGTCGTCGTCATTGTCGTCATTGCAGTCGCCGTCGCCGTCGCCGTCGCCGTCGCAGTTGTCGTCGCCGTCGCCGTCGCCGTCGCCGTCGGCATCGCCGTCGCCGGGGCCGTCGCCGTCGCCGTCGCCGTTGCCGTCGCCGCTCCCTTCCCAGTTTCCCCCGGCCCTCCCCTTCGCCCGCCAGCCATGAAGTAAATTGATGATCGTCGTAGTTCAATCGAGGAGGAGCCCCGTCCCTTTGATCCCCCCTTCCCCGCCGAGGGGTGGGTGGGTGTTCCGGGGGGGGGGAGGAAGAGTCCTGGGGGGGTTCTGGGTCAGACTGCTGCCCCTTCGGGGTCCCACGGGGTCCTGGGGTTAAGTAGGCGGATTTTGGAAGAGAAATAAAAAGTAGCCAAACAATATTCAACAATAGTCCAAAATAGTCGAAAAATCATACCCGGACGATTTATTGACTATTTTTGAATATCCCTCCTGTGGAGGGGCAGGCCCGCCTTGATCCTGGGGAGGGTCGCCGGGCTGAGGCAATGACGCGTTGGCGACATGTTTGGACGCACTGTTTTCGCGCAGCTCGCGATCGAAATGTGCTAGCGTTACTAGATGTTCCACACCGAGGGGCTGACCGTAATGCATCAGAGCAGTGGGTTACGAAGTCCTCCAGCATGGGGTGTTATCACAGCGTCTTGTTTTGCCGATGATCATTCTCAACTCACCAATCCCACTTAAATCCAAGAGGAGGACGGAGATGAGGATAAGCAGGAGGAGAGCTCCACTTGACTGGTCACTATCGCCATGACGACTCCCCTCGTAGCTGTGTAAAGCTGGTTCGGGCATTATGTCGGACAAGTGCCACTGTTCACAACAAAAACCTGCATTCTCACAAGGGTCGAGCGGAAGGTGACGGTCACTTTTGCGCTGCGCCAACTGGGACATCCGCACGCCCTACTCCGTCTGCACCGCAGCAATGCGCAGGGCGGTGCCATCGGCATCGGGAGCCGCAAGGAGCAGGGAGGAGGACGAAGGGGAGGAGGCGCAAAGCAGAGCAGAACGTCATGGAGTCCCTGTCCGGCTGTACTCTGAGAGGATTCCTTCGAGACCACTCAACTTACGATGCAAGCCCTCCTAAGGTTCACAGCACAAACTGCACTGGCCGACTGGCGCCCTTCTGGGCACCCAAGCTAAAATTCGAAGGTATACTGATTATGCGAATATGTGGTGCTGCACTTCAGGCCTGCGCAAGAAGAAGAGATAGCTGGAAAATCCGCTGGGCCCAGGCCGGGTGGCAGGCGCGGCCAGTTTCCTGCAGGCGGGCCGCTGGACGCAGACCCCCTCGCCGTCCCAAAGCCAGGGCCCCCCTTGATGGAGCCCGCGCCCATCAACGTTCCCAGACCTCCGACGAAATGATTTCTTCAATCCAGACGAATCATCCTCCATTTCGGCGCTTCTTTGGGGGCCGCTTTCAGGCCCCAACGGATCCAGGACGAAAAACTACCCGGGCCCTCTGGGATCGCGCATTGAAAAGTCACATCGTCGGAGGTCTGGGGAAGGTTCTGACTTCGCTCGGGCTGCCTGCCACAACCTCACGGTGGGTTCGCGTCGTTACGACCTGGACGTTGCTTTCTCAAAGCACGTGGATCGGAAGCTCGTTGGGTCGTCTGGAGGCTCTTGAGATATTTGTCAAGTTTGATTTCTCACCGGGGCTCCCTTTTGTAGATCCCATGGCCCGACACGCCGTCGGGGCGTATTCCAGATTGAACGTCCGACGCAGGCGTCACCGCCGCGTCGACTCGGCGCGAACGGAATCCAAAGGCCCTAATAACGACACTTAGAAACTTCGTGAAAACAGTCCCTGGGGGCTGCTTCAAAGAACGCGGCGTTCTCCAAAAGGCATGATGCGGCGGTGGTTCGCCGTGACGTCTTCGAATATTGCACACGAGCACTGTTTGCTGTCCACACGCGCTGGCCTGCTTCTTCATGCTCGAGGGAGAGGAGGAAGAGGCTGACGCTACGATCCCGGTGCATTCAAGTTCGCCCATCGGAACGGAGGAGGAGGATGCAACAGAGGGCGATGAGGGCGGGGAAAAACGCCAAGGCTGGGCTGCGAGCGACAACGCCCGGCCACTCAGTGGACGTCCGGGCCCGCGTCGCCCAGGCGGTCCAGCCCCTCGGCGGTGCCGGCGCCGTCGCTGTACGCTTGCGCATGGGTGTGTGTGTGTGTGTGTCTGTGCGTGCGTTCGTGCGTGTCTGTGTGTGCGTGCGTGCGTGCGTGCGTGCGTGCGCGTGTCGTGTTGTGTTGTCTTGTATTGTGTTGTGTTGTGTTGTGTTATGTTGTGTGTGTTGTGTTGTGTTGCGTTGTGTTGTGTAGTGGTGCGTCTCTCCTCGCCCCACATTTCATCCGTTGCGCTGTGGGCGCGCTCGCTCGGATTGCGGGCCGTTGCAGGCTCGCGATCACATTGGCCCAAATGAGCGCAACTTGGGCACATGCAAATACGCGAGAGAACGAATATGCGTACACGTGTGATTAGGAAGACGCGCCGCGTTGACGCGCATTCGCGCCCTGGGCGTATGGCTGCCTAGGTATACGAATATGCATGCGGACGAGCATGTGAGCACGCATAGACGTCATGCATGTTATTGTGCATGCCTATCTGGCCGCGCATGTAGATGTGCATGTGCGTGCGCGATCGCTTTGCATGCTAGATAGGGCATGTGGTTGTGCGCCAAGCGTCAGTATAATGATCCTTGGAGAGGGCCCCATATTACAGGGTAGCGCAAACACAGCGTATAGAGTACCGCAGGAGCGAGCAGAGTAGAGCACAGCAGAACAGAGTAACAGTTAGAACATGAGTCTAAAGTAGAAGAGAGTTTCTTTGACACTGCACACAGTGTGTTCGTGCAGGTAGTGTGTAGCAACATAGTGTCTGGAGAAGTATGGGTTCAGGGGTCACCCAGATCGAACGCAAAAGCATGAACCATGTATGGATGCGCCATCAGAAATCGAAAACTCCAGGGGGGGCACGCTCCTTGCGGAAAGGAAGCACGTCCAGGGCTCTGGGCTCCATATGTCAACGTACATGCAAGTGTAACTGTCAGTAGTGTGTGGCATGTACATGTGTACTGTTGCACTGTCTGCATGATGTGCGTGCCCGTACATATGTGAACGTTCGCGCGTTCTTGAGCTCAATGAACATTACTCGAACAGGCATGTGTCTTGGAAAGTCTCTGTAGGAGGGCAGGGAAGATGCTAGGAACACTGGTCCCACACGGTACGGTGAAGGCTCGATCCCTGAGCGTCGTCAGTGTATCACCATCAACCGTTACCCGGATCCTCCACCTCACCTAATCCGCTTCCCTTATATTTATGATCCTTTCTCGTCCTCCACCTCCTCCTCCTCCTTATCCTCATCCTCCTCCTCATTCTCCTCCTGCTCCATCTCCTTCCACATACCACATACCCTCCTCCCTCTTCCTTGTCCTCCTCCAGACCGTCACAAGCATCCTTCTCCTTCTAACCATCGTTCTCTCCCCTCTCCTCCCCTCCCCCTGCGTGTCCTCCTGCTGCTGCCTCCGCTGCCTCCATAATACGTAACCTCTTCCTTCGACTTCTCCTCCTCGTTACCCTCCTCCTCCCACTCCTCCTAAAAATTCCCTACCCACCCCCCGCCCTCGCTCTAACTCATGCCATCCCGTCTCCCCCTCCTCCTCCTCATTCTCCTCCCCCCGCCCCACCCCCGACCATCCCCCCGAGCCCTCCCAAGCCCGTTCCTCCCCCTCCTGCTCTGCTTCCGCACCGTTGTCCTCTTCCTCGTCCTCCTCTCTCCCCCCCCCCTCCCCCCTCCCCTCTCCCTCCCCCTCCCCTCCCCCTCCTCCTCCTCCTCCTCCTCCTCCTCCTCCTCCTCCTCCTCCTCCTCCTCCTCCTCGTCCTCTCCTCCTCCTCCTCCTCCTCCTCCTCCTCCTCCTCCCCTCTCCTCTTCCTCCTCCTGGTCCTAGAGCGCTGGTGCCCGAAGCAGCGGCGCCGCCTGTGCCGACGCCTCAGCCTCGAGATCTGCGCCGAAGTCCTGGGGCACAGCAGGCACGTGCCCTCCTCCTCCTCCTCCTCCTCCTCCTCCTCCTCCTCCTCCTCCTCCTCCCCCTCATCCTGTTTCTTCGCTGACCCGGCGCACACACACGCGCCTACCCCACTGGAGACTCATTCCTTCGCGTCCTGCAGGCCCTTGCCCTTGCCGCTCCGCTCCCAGAAAGACCGGCGCACGCTCGAGAGAGCAATCTGGGCCCAAATATGCCCTCGAGGTCGCTCAGCGGTCCCTGGAAGAAGTCCCTCGGAGTTCCCTGGAAAAGGTCGCTCGGCCCTGACCTGCCACATCTTTCTGCTGCGAACTGTCCGTGGTCGCGCTTCCTGGCAGCGCGAGTTCGGGCGGGGCCAGCTGAGACACGCTCGCCCGTCCACAGCACCACGTTTGGAGCCTAAGCTAAACGGCGATGGAAATCTGTGAGAACTCCTGGGTCTCCCTGCAAACTTCTGAACCCTCCTTGGCCGCAATGGCCACGTCGGTTGACAGGAACGTGCCAACTAATTGTGGTGATAGCACGTGGAAACCAAGCTGGGTGAGACTTTTGTCTCTGTCTGTCTGTCTGTCTGTCTGCATGTCTGTCTGTCTGTCAGTTGGTCGGTCCCTGTCTATCTGTCTGTCGGTCTGTCTGTCTGTCTGTCTGTCTGTCTGTCTGTTTGTCTCTCTCTCTCTCTCTCTGCTGTCTCTGTCTGTCTGTCTGTCTGTCTCTAACTCTGTCTCTGTCTCTGTCTCTGTCTCTGTCTCTGTTTCTGTCTCTGTCTGTCTGTCTGTGTCTGCTGTCTCTGTCTGTCAGTCTGTCTGTCTGTACATGTGTCAGGCTGCCTGTCTGTCTGTGTCTGTGTCTGTGGCGGTGGCTGTGACTGTGTGTGTCTGTGTTGTCTGTCTGTCTGTCTGTCTGTCTGTCTGTCTGTCTGTCTGCCTTTCTGTCTGTCCCTGTCTGCTGTCTCTGTCTGTCTGTCTGTCTGTCTGTCTGTCTGTCTGTCTGTGTGTCTGTGTGTCTGTCTGTCTGTCTGTCTGTCTGTCTGTCTGTCTGTCTGTCTGTCTGTCTGTCTGTCTGTCTGTGTCTGCTGTCTCTCTCTCTCTCTCTCTCTGTCTGTCTCTATCTGTGTCTGTCTGTCTTCCTGTCTTTCTGTCGTTCTGTCTTTCTGTGTCTGTGTCTGTGGCTGTGGCCGTGTGTGTGTGTGTGTGTCTGTGTTGTCTGGCTGTGTATGTGTGTCTGAGTCTGTGTCTGTGTATGAAGTCCTGCAGGTGGATGGAGCGCAGCAGGCGGTGAAACCGGCGGCGGGGCGCGTCCGGAGCGAATCGGGCACAAGGGAAGGGGGAGGGCGGGAGAAGAGTGGGGAGGGCCGCGGGACAGTCAGAGCACACTCTGAACAGGAAGAACTTCGGGATATGCCAAACAGCCAGCTGCTAATGATTCGCGATGACTCCCGTGACCAGCACCTCCCCCCCTCCTCACCCCCGCCCCACCCCCCCTCCTCCTCCTCCTCCTCCCCCTCCTCCGCCTCTTCCTCCTCCTCCTCCCCCTCCCCCTCCCCCTCCCCCTCCCCCTCCTGCCTCCCCCCTCCCCGTCTGTGGGCCCCAGGGACCGTCACACTCCCAGGGCCACAAGCCAGACTCAGTGCGGGCCGTCGGGCGCAGAATCTGTCGAATTCGAAGCCCGACAAGCACGCATCCTTAAGGCACAGGGGCTAGGACACCACCTCGTGTTTCGCCCCGATTTTGTTTTCTGCAGGCGATGCGCTTCCTACGCTCAGTGTAAGTGGACGAACCTTGTGAAGGAGGGCTGCAGGCCCGCCCGAGCTCGGACGGCCAAGGGTCGACTGACGCGTTTGTGGGAGTGCCGCCATCCATCCACAGGGAAGCCCTTGTAAGTCTTAACTTGCACGGCGAAGGCGGCTTGCGTGGTGCTCTCCATCTGCGTAAGTCCTAAGTAGCACAATCCTAGCACAATCCCCCTCCCCCTTCCCCCTCCTCCTCCTCCTCCTCATCCTCCTCCTCCGCCTCCTCCTCCTCCGCCTCCTCCTCCTCCTCCTCCTCCTCCCCCTCCTCCTCGCCCCCCCCCCCCAGCCACGTCATGCTCCGCGCTGGCGCGGTGCGGGAATGAGCCGTCCTTGGGCATTCCCAGACGGCGCCATCGCGAATCGTGACGCGACCGGCTCCCATCCCCCCCTCCCCCGTTGCAGTCGGACCTCAGCCAGAAGAACCTCCTTCAAGAACATGAGACTCTCGGTCGGCCAAGAAACAAGCAAGCACCCCCCCCTGGTCTCACGGCCGTTATCGCCAGGGGGAAGACAAGTATCCTCCAGAGGAAGGCTCACGTACTCGACGACGAGAACTAAAGAAACCATTGCCCCGAGAGGTGGCCTCCAGAGGCAGGCTCACGTACTCGACGACGAGCAGCACAAGGCAAAACTGCGTGCAGAGGCCAGCCCTCGGGGGGCGGCGGGGGGCCTCTTTGGTCGGCGCGGGTCCTCGGCGCCCCTCTCACGGGGACTCCACGAGCCGGTACGTTGGCCAGTGGCCCGGCGACCCCAGTCCTCCCCGGCGTGGACAAGGCTACAGTGCCAGAAAGAGGCCCCAAAATGGCAACGCTCGGCAATCCTCCAGGAAGCACCCGTCAGCGCGTGCCCGTCACGGTGCCGCTAAGCGGCGCCCTCAGGGCGTCCCCGCCGCGCTGAGCGCAGGGCGGGGGGTGGCGCCAGGAGAGGCGCAGCCTGGGCATGCGCGGGCGAGGGCTGGCTAGGGCAGGTTCGCGCCGTGTCGACCCCGGCGCTGGTTCCTGACAGCGCGGGGATCGTTCAAACTTGAACGATCGGCCGTTCCGTGAACGCCGGATCGTTCAACGGCGGGCCGATTCTGGGCCACAGGTGGATTTCAATCTTAAACGCACGCGGTGGGGTCGCCGCCGGTCGGCACGACGCGAACCTGCCGCACACGCGTAAGAGGTGATCCTGGGCAAAGGTGCCCTTCGGCTAGGTCGGGCATGCCCTCCCACAGGCGGGCTGTCTAAGAAAACTAGGGAAATTCAGGAATGCTCAGAGCGTAGCCGAAAAAGCGCACGAAAAGTCGTCCCCAGACTGTTGAGTTTACTATCCTTGAGTACTCCTGCTGTAGAGTTGTGGATGCCACGACAATGGACACCCTAACAGTCCTATAATCGAATTAAAATTGTGTTTAAAATGTCGGAAACATGTCCTGGAAATGTTTAAAACATGTGTTTCACATGTTTAAGACAGGTTTCACACATCGTTAGACATCTGGAAACTCTTTGGCAACATGCTTCCGCTCCTTTGATCGTCCTTCACAACTGTTCAGCAGGAACCGACCGTCCCGGCATTCCTATAGTCCTACCACGGAATGTTCTTAGAACACAAAAATGTTCTAAGAACTCCAACAACGTTCTTAGAACATAAACCGATGTGATAAAACAAGACAGCCCCAACCAGAAATGTTATCAGAACACCTCGTGGGAACCACAAAAGGTTCTTAGAACATTGCTTGGTAGGGCTATATAGGCACGCCAAGACGCTTCGCCACTGCTTGAAGCTGCAGAGGGGCCTTCCCAGGCTTGGACCTCTGGTGCGCGCGGCACCTGGAGGGGGTGGGGGGGGGGGGGGGGGGGGGGGGGGGGGGGGAGGGGGGGGGAGGGGGTGGGGGGGGGGGGGGGGGCGACGCGGGGCCCGCGTCCGGGCACGCGGGCCGCCGGCATCGCAGCGCACCTCTTCGGCGGCAGCCCGCGGGAGCCTCCCGCGCCGTCCCGTCGGCGCTCGCGAACCGACGCCGAGCGACGCTGCATCGACGCAACGTCGGCGCTGACTCGACGCTACGTCGGCGCTGAAACCGACGCAGGATTCGGCGCCGTCTCGTCGCCTCCAGACACGCATCGACGCCGACCGACGCTGAAGAGAGGGGATTCAGAGGGCCTACCAGGCTCCCATGACTTGCCACCGAAGCACTCCGTGGGCGGGAGACCCCCAATGGGCCCGCACCAGAAGTCGCTTCGGCGTAGGGTTATGTTGTTCCCATCCTACTTAAGGCCCACATCCCAGAAATAATTCCGAGCACCCGGAGAAGTGTCAACAGAGTGTCGAAACAATGCCGAAACAGCGTCGGGCGAGGGTCTCCCAGGGCCCGGCACGTGAAAACCCTCGAGCTTCGGCACTTTGGGAAGCCCTCGAAGCTCTTCCTGGCGATCCAGGCTAAAGTAGGCTGGAGCGTCATGAGCGTAGGGGCACCCTCGCCTGCCGTCGAGGTGCGTGCCTGCCTCGCTCCGCTCTCGTCCCCGCCCGCGACCGCGAGGGGCCCGCCCGAACGACCCGCCCGCGAGGGCCCGAGCGCCATCGGCCCGCAGGTCGCGGGGAGGGCGCACGATGAGGGTGCAGCTCCTCCTCCTCCTCCTCCTCCTCCTCCTCCACCTCCTCCTCCTCCTCCTCCTCCTCCTCCTCCTCCTCCTCATTCCTCACCCCTCCTCCCCACCCCTCCTCTCCCTCCTCCTCCCTCCTCCTCCTCCTCCTCCTCCTCCTCCTCCTCCTCCTCCTCCTCCCTCCCTCCCTCCCTCCCTCCCTCCCTCCACTCCCTCTCTCCCTCCCATCCCCTCCCTCCCTCCCTCCTCCCTCCCTCCCTCACCCTCCTCCTCCACCTCCCTCCTCCTCCTCCCTCCTCCCTCCTCCCCCTCCCTCCTCCCTCCTCCCCTCCCCTCCTCCCCTCCTCCCCTCCTCCCATCCCTCCTCCACCTCCCTCCCTCCCTCCTATCCTCCCTCCTCCCTCCACCCACCTCCCTCCTCCCTCCTCCCCTCCCCTCCTCCCTCCTCCCTCCTCCCTCCTCCTCCTCCCTCCTCCCTCCTCCCTCTTCCTGCCCTCCCTCCTCCTCCTCCTCCACCTCCTCCTCCTACCTCCTCCTCCTCCTCCTCCTCCTCCTCCTCCTCCTCCTCCTCCTCCTCCTCCTCCGGGGCCTTGGAAGACCACGTCGACACTCTGCGAGCGGGGCGCAGCCAAAGGAACGCGGCCA